GTGGTACCTTACATATCGGGCCAGAAATAATCCACGAGACAACTGAAAAGATCATATAAATTAAGGATCGATTAAAGGTTGCACATAATCGTCAAAAGAGCTATGTTGATGTAAGACGTAAGCCTTTGGAATTGCAAGTTGAAGATAAAGTAATGTTGAGGGTATCTTCTTGGAAAGGCATGATTCGATTCAGACATGAGGTAAACTAAACCCACGATATATATGACTTTTGAAATTCTAGCAAGAATTGGTTTTGTCGCATATCAACTTAAGTTACCTCAAGAGCTAAGCAATGTACACGATGTTTTTTACATATCAAATCTCAAAAGTTTTCTATCTGATGAAACTCTTGTTGTACCTCTCGATAAGATACAAGTCAATACCAAACTCAACTTTGTAGAAGAACTTGTTGGAATCATAGATCTAGAGGTCAAATAATTGAAACAAAGTCGTATTCCCATAGTGAAAGTTTGTTGGGACTCTTTACGAGGGTATGAATTTACTTGGGAACATGAAGATTAGATGAAACAAAAATACCCCCAACTATTTAACAATACCCCATCCACAAGATACATTTCAGGACAAAATTATTTCAACAGGGGAAAATGTAACACCAGTCAAAATAGGTCAACAACAGTCACATATGATCATGTTAAAAAAATAATATACTAAACTTTCTTTTTAGTTCATGGAAAATTCTAATACAAATATGAACTTTCATACATAATTTATGGTATAAATCAAAAGTACATGTCCATACAATTCCAAAAGATTTTAACAAACCTCAACCCGACTTTACATGAAAAAGTTATGATAAACTCTAACACTATAAGCCCCTATAATAGGAATAAATTAAAATGTACTGAGAATTAGCTATTGGAATCTAAAAGAATAATGTAGTACTTAGAATTACCTACGCGAGGATATAAAGAACGACAAAAAAAGAGTTTGTATGCAAAATATAAGATCTTCCGAAGATGTAGCAGTCTGATAGCATGACGTGTGGCAGAAACCCTAATCTGTCATGCTTCATGATGTGAACATTAATGCTCATGACATGAAGGTACTTCAGGACACCTCTTAAGGCTAGAATGCAGAAGGTAAGCCTACGGAATGATGTGTTTAGACTTCACGCCGTGAACATAAAGGTTAACAACATTAAAGTGTTATGCGGACACCTTCCGAAGCTAGAACCCTAATTTCAAGTCGAGGAGGTGATGCAGCCCTGCCCTAACCATCCTTACACTAAAATTTATTTTCTCTCTCTCGTTTGCTAAAGGTGTTCCTTGTCCCGAGCCTGACGATCACGAACCACTGACCGTTTTTAGTTAGATTCTATCAAATGAGTTTCACGGTCCACTTTTTAATGTTTTCGAGGGAAAATGCATGTTAAATACGATATATAAGTTAATATTATTTTTATACGATCATATGTTCGGATAAATATAAAATTCTTTTAATCGGGATATAGTAGTTTTAAATCATATATATTTATGATACATCTAATATTTTGGAAACTATACAACAGCTGGTATGTTATTATCATAAGTTTTATGTTGGTTATAACTTGATATTTATCTATATATTTGATAATTTGAAGTTATATTCGACTTGTTAAGTGTGTTTTTATTATTGGTTTTATCTAAGATAAAACCGAGTTTTTAATTCAAGTTATAGCTATTATACTGCCTAAGTATTATGAAAATTAGGAGTAATGTTTAAAGCATATTCTAGTAACTTATGGTTTTAGACACGGATATGCATTTACTGTTAGAACTAAAGGAACTCGACAAAGTCTACATGAGCTATTTTATTCATCAACTAAGACTGGAAATCTTAGGAAAATCGTCTGACCTATAACAGTTAATCATGTGTGAGTAAGCAAGTTGTGTATAGATCTATACAAGTTGACACCCCAACTCGTGGTTGCTAGTTACAACCCACGATTTATGAAACCCACCGGGTGACGAACTGCTTTTTAGTTATTTTATTGTGGACCCGATGTCGATGCACAAAGTATTTAGATTGGTGGAATCCTTCGTGGAACCAATGGAAAATTTATGGCACCAATGGTGGAATACTTTGTGGCACCAACGGTGGGATCCTTTGTAGTACCAATCATATGTCTTGTATGTCATATAGAAGCGCTTATGGACTCATGGTAGCACAATTTTATTTTAGAAACATTATACTTTGTCGATATACAAGTATTAATGTTAAGTATAAGTTTCCCAAATACGGATACTCTAAGTACAAGGAATTTATAGGTATTCTACTTATTCATTAAGTAAACAATTATACCTAGCATATATACTCTCCCGGAATTGAAATTAGATTTATATGTAGCAATCTACCTTAGTATAGAATTACAAACACTTATACTCATAGTATATAGGAATTTATAGGTATATCACTTATTCATTAAGTCAAAACCTTTGGACTCATCAAATTTATGTTGATATATTTTCAAAACACATGTTTTTTCAGGAACTTGATAAGCTAGAATGTTACTCGAACAGTGGAAGTTTTATTATTATCCTTTCCGTTCATATGAGACATATATATGTTAAGACATGTGAGATAGTTTGGATAGTATGTAATAAATAATAGGAAACAGGAATCATGTAACTTTCTATCATCAATAAAGGTATTTAGTTTATATACTTCTTTTGTACTATTCAATGTATGTTAAATAACTGTGATATAAAGATGAAGTTACACAACCCGGTGTTTCCGCTACCGACTAGGGGTGTGACAGAGTTTGTGATAAAAAATTTGGGAGCTGAAAAGAAGATAGCAAGGATGGAGATACGGAGTTCTAAAAGAGCAACATGGTTATACATTTCTAATTACTTTGAGAAAGTCTTGCGGTCGTTAGATTATGATCAGTCCAAATTTGTTGGTTCTTCATTGGTTGTTCTAGGCAATCAAGGAAAATCTCACTCGAAAGTGGTCAGGTGTATCTTTTGACACTTGAAGGGAATGCTTGCAGCTTTTTATGGCGTGTGGTGCAAATGGATGACATATGTACTTGGTTGGATTGATAGACTTTAACCATGGAAGTGATCTGGAGATAAGAAGATCATTGGCGGTTGGTCTTATTTAGAGTCTTCTTTTTCAGGTGGTGAAACCTATCATGTTCTATGACATGTTATGCATTCAAAATTCTGGTGCCAAGAAGATTTTGGAAGACATGGTGATAAGGATGTTACCCAGAGAGAAGTTCAAGCCTTGCATGGACTTGGTGGATATGCGCAAGAGGTAAGCCCCTTTGGGGCTTAATGATAAGAACGGAGAGGAGGTTCTTATTTGATATGGAGTTCATAGGATGCTCAAGTCAAGGTGGGGATTATTGAATGTGACTCAAGCATTTGGATCATGCTCATGGTGCATTTGGACCACTTGGAACTCAATGAAGCACTTGGGGTTCATGGAGCATGTGACAAAGGAATGGATCATCTGAGAAAGAAATGGATCATCTGAGAAAGGAATGGATCAACTTCCAAAGGAACGAATCGTATAGAAGGGGGTTTGGAGTACTTGGAATAGATTTGGAGCACTTAGGACTAATATGGATCAATAAAGGAACCTTGTTGCACCATATGTTGAAGAGATTGGCCAATAAGGATGTTGTTGCACTAAGAGCATTCCTTCTTGCACCATTATGCTAATTCTTGCGCGATGAGGGGTTCCTCTTATGCCATGAGGATCCCTCATGTGCCATGGGGTACTCATGTTGAGCCATGAAGTATGCTCTTGATCCATGCATGGCCTTGTTGTGAAATATATGTTTTTTTTTTGCACCAAGGTGCTGTTGTTGATCTAATCTTGATTTTCTTGTGCCACACTTGAAGCAAGTTGCGCCATCGATACACTTATTGCACCATAATGGTGCAAGTTGGACCATCTTGGTCCTTGATGATCCAAGTATGCTATGAATTCCTCTATGATACTCAATATAATTCAAGGGTGCGCATAAGTTGGTATTGCTCAAGCATTACACCATGTTGTGCCACCACGATAGATGTTGGGCCATTAGTGTTCATGATGCGTCACTTGTACATCATGATGCTCCACTATGGCACAAGGTTGTCCATCATGTGTGTTGTTGATGCTCATGGGTTGTATGACATGGCAGAATGTTCTAGAAGATGCTGCATGGTGGAATATTATTGGTTGTCACCATTCATGGGCCTATGGGAAAATGGGCTTGGCCTATTTGGATTTTAGGTCTGATCCCTCAAATATAAATAGGGATGCGTGTAGAGTCATTTGAAGTGTCTTGTATCTTGTATCCTTACTAAGTAGGAAAAATCTCTGGTGAATTGTACTTGTAACCTCTGAAATAAAGAATACTCCCCTCCTGCCCGTGGAGGTAGGTCACCATGACCGAACCATGAAAATGTTGTGTCTTAGTGTTCTTACAGTTTTGCTTATTATATGCATTGCTTCCTAGCAAGGATCATCAGAACGTGGCAAGTGGCCACTGATTTGTTCTGAGTCTTGATAAGTATTGCCTAATTTCCCAAACAGTTATCATGCGGAAATAAACATATACCTTTTTATCATATATAGAACCATATAGGGTTCGCATCTCATATATCCTTAAATACATTTTTGTCACATAAACCAGAAAATAAACATATAGCTTGCACGTAAACTTTCTAACATATATTTAATACTTTAATTAGTAATTATAATGCATTAGGAACACATATGTAAATAAAATCTACCTGGCTCAATTATAGCGGCTTAGCAAGTACAAGAAAACAAGAGAGTAAAAGAAAAAAAATATAAAAAGCTTACTCTCGACTCCTATACATACCCTATGTATAGGGTGATACAGACGTGTACAAAAAATACCTAAGTACTAAACGTTTAAGCCTTGACCTCTAAAACTTCCTTATGTAATACATACATTTGAAGTACATAACTTCGACATCAACATTACCCAATACCCTTCCCTTTTTCACCTTTATCATCTTTTGTAGGAGGCGATTTCAGACTTGAACTTGAACCCCATCACTTTCTCCAATGACTATGCCTTTCGTAATTAGTCTCAAAGTTGTTGTAGTAGAAGTTTTTTTTAGAGAAACAGGAAGTGATGTTGGAATTTTAGTTGACATCACCTTCCCTGCAACTTTACCTTGATTAGTATCTTTCAAAGAGCCAACTACCTTTTCTCCGCATTGCACCACATGTTTCACAAGTGGGGAATTCGTTGGCAATAAAAGAACCAACTTCAGAATGGGTTCAAGCTCTGCCTTTATGCTGGATTTGATGGAAGAAATGAACGTCGAGATAGACTCCTAAGAGACAACAAACTGTTGAGAAAGATCAAGCTTCGACAAATTAATATTCTTTTAAGCTTCCCAGAAACTCCTCTATCTTTTCAAACACCTTAGAATCTGTTTCTGTTTTGGCTTCGAGCTTGGTAGAAAAAAAAAGTGTTATACTCAACAAGCTTCTTTATGGCATCAACAACGACATCAACCTTGCCATGAAGAATAGTGTAATTTTTTCTATATTTTTTTGCTTCCTTTGTCGTCTCTAACTTAAGCTCTTACACTTTGAGATTTACAAACTCCTTCACATTCTTGACTAGCTCAACAAAATATTTATGATGTTCTTTTTCAACGTAATGAAGCTTTGCCACCTCATATTGAAAATTTTGAACATGATGCTTTAATTGCTCAACATGTTGTTTCTCAATCTGCTCCATAGCACTGTTAAGGTGATTCTCTTGAGACTTGAGCATAATATCCACTTCTACCTAGAAATTGAGTTTCAAACCCTTGTATCAGCTTGAATTTTAACTAAGAATTCAGTTTGTGATTGAGAATTTTAAACTATTTCCCTGAAATGAGCACGTTTTCGGATATATTATCTTCCTTAGGATCGAGCTGAATTTCTACAAAAGATGCCATAATATCATCATCATCAGGTTCATCTTTTGGATCTGTCTTTTCACCTTTAGTGGATTGGGAAGAGAAAAATGATGTAACTGGTTGATGCATGATGTTGGAAAAAGTTTGTGAAATGATAGAAACAGATAATGAAGATGGGATTGGAGAACAGAATGGTGGTAAAGAAGTAGAAGTATCAATGAGGGTGGTTTCAATGGTAGAAGATAGAATAAGTGAAGTATTAACAGTAGAGGTTTGAACAGAAGATGTACCAAGGGATTCATTTTGTGCCTTCTCTTCACCCATAGTGACATTTGTGTCCATATCGGATATGTTCACAGGGATACTTGAGGTTCGAACCTCCTTTGTAATGGACTAAATCCTCGAAACCTTTGGTGGTATGACATCTACCTTCGCAGGGATGATAGTAGATGGAGATTAACTCAAATTGGTGTTTGTATGTGTATGAGATACATGTACATGGCCACCAAGACTTCCAGTCTCCTCGAAATTCTACTTAGCTTGGAGAGTCCCTTTGAGGTGGCACAAAGCCCAATCCAATATCATGAGGAATCGGTGATCCTTCGCTTCCACTTTCAAAATAAGTTTCAACGACAAATTCATCAAGTGGATCAACCAGTTGTTTCTTCTTCTTGATCTGTTAGTTTACTTCATGACCTTTGCGTTTCTTCAAAGCTAGTGATACTGGAACAGGTACATCATGAATACGTACACCCCTTCTGTTAAATTGGGGTTTGCAAATTTCCTTATTCCCTTCGATATCGATCCTTCTTTTGGTGAAGAAAAAGGATCATCAGATGTGTCATCAATTATTGGTTGTTCAGGAGAATGATGAGGTCGATGACCAGGCTTCTTTGTTCATTTCAGAATACATGTCTTCGATGGAACAACCTCCTTACACATTTTTTTTTCAAGATTTTCTTGAACAAATTTAGGTTGTTCAAGATTTTTTTGGTTTCTTAGAGACTTTAACAACCTTCCATTTGCCTTCCGTCCCTTCAATCGACAAAACCCCAACTTGAACATCTGGGTTAATAGTTGTTGAACATTGAACAAGAAGTGGATTAGCAGGAACTACTCTTCGTAACATGGCATCAGGAATTTGAGCCACAGTTGGAAATAAAATTGGATCATCAGCAACAATTCTAGGAGTCTGATACGTTGAAAACTCTGCCCTTGCACCTTCGGATGGTACCAAAGTTCCCTCTTTCTCATACACTTCCCTTCAATCAAGCTCCAATACCTCACACACGATACACCATTTGTGACATTGGTATGAGAAATTCCTGTACCGAATTCTTCCCAGAACTGAGTAACATAATCGACATTCGGATCATAGTAAAGACCTGCAATCATGGCATACACTTCCAATTTTGCTTTATCAATTCCTAACTATGACCAGTCAAATATCATAGAAAAATCCCAAGTAATAAGTTCCAAACATAGGGCAAAGTAGTCTTGCAAAAATGACTGATATCGATGAGTGGTGGTTGATGACCTATCGCATTGAACATGTAAACAATATGTTTGTCGTAAATTCATAAAACGGACCTCTATTTGAAAGCTTTATGATTTGAGGAAATTGCCTCTTGGTAAGCTTCTACAGTTTTTCATTCGTCAGTTGGAATGTCACCACTTTTGCCATCTTGTTAAACACTGCCGTTGATCTCACCAGTGATAACAAGGTCATGGGTACCGAGAAAGAAGAAAACATAATAGTTAAATGAACATAGTGATTGAGAGTAAAAATCAACATTTGTTATTGTTTAGGATAGTTCTTGAAATCCAGTTGAACAAAAAAATAAACTTTGAATCTTCATCAATGGATGAGATGTTGCTTTTTCTATGGTGTTTAATGGATCAACATAACTAGTTGGTGTCACCATGGTTAGGGTTTGTGAGAATTTTGTGAACAAACGATTATCTTGAAAGAATATTTGGGGAAAATTTTCCAAGAGTTCATAAAGTCTTCAATTTAGTCTACCAAAATCCTTTTATAATCAATGTAGAATTTGAATTTGAACCATTCACCAATGAAAATATGTCACATGTTGCGTTGTGTGTGGAGTCGGTTTTCAGAAAAGTCGCCACATCAAAAAAAGTGACCATCACTTTTCCCTAAAAATCTATGAAAGAACTGAATTGTCATATCTACCGAACGTTTCATTGATCCCAATGAGATAAGAAGCTTCACTTGATCTTTATTATGTCACCATAAAGCTTCATCATCAAGAGAGCACTTTGACCTTCACTATGAGGTACGAGTCATTCTCTTTTGGGATGAAAAACGAAATCATATGCCAGACTTTGCGAAATCTAGGTTTGAGTTGGTATTATCCAAAACCTCTAGGATTTTAGTGCAAATGTATGCAAAAGAAATAGCTGGAATCGAAGTACAAAAATGTGCATATAGTGATATCAAAAATATTTGATGTAAAAGTAGTTGGATCCTGGGAAAAGACCACTTCATTTGAAATCAAGAGAGATGACATACTACTTGTTCGGTATCCCGTGAAGTATAATCGAATACTACTTAATAAGTATCGAAAGGCTTCTTTTTGCACAGGCTTTGAAGGTAGGCACAATTTTGTTTAAAACCATAATGTACCGTCCCAACTGTCATGTATCATTACTATTCAATTTAGGCTTCATGTTTTAAGGCCTACTCGACAAGTTGATTCTATGACTCGTCGAGTAGCAGCGGGATAGGACACATCATTTAATGACTTAACTCGGCGAGTCAGGAAAGGGACTCGACGAGTAGGAGCTGGCGGGGGAAACCCTAAATTTTAGGGGTTTTGCACCCTATATATTGGACCATTATCGCCTCCCACTGTCTTTTATCACCCCTTGAGATCCAGAACCCTAATTTACATGTGTTTGAGCCTTGTGAGTGTTTTGGAGCTTTGGAAAGTAGTTTAGTGAAGGAAATTTGTAGATCACAACACCAGAATCAAGGAAATTCGTGTAGATCTAGAGTCTACTTCAGTTTGGGCACATTTTGGAGGTAACCAGTTGATTACCTTGATCTCTTTACTCCTAGAATATCTCTTGTGTAAAGTTTAGGGTTTCTTTAGCTTATTTATGAAGGGATTATTGTGTGGGAGCTATATCTGAAGTTGAAACTTCAGATCTGAACCTCCCTTGGGTCCAAAGTTCATAAAGTTCTCAGTATTGTCATGAAAGAACCCTTCCTTATGAGTAAAGCTTCATTCCAAGCTTGGATTCATATTTTGAGGCACGAAAATATGTAAATGTAGCAACTTTACGTTGCTAATGCACTCTAGGGACCTAGATCCACTATTTGGATCGGAGGAATAGTTCAGAATCATTTGATAATGGGAGTATTTGTATAGACTCGACGACTCTGGGAGATGAATCGGTGATTCGAGTAGGGTTTTCATCCGAATTGGTCCCGCGTGGACTCGGCGAGTCTGGAAGATGACTCAGCGAGTCAGTTTGGGTTTCCAAGCACCAAGTCATGTATTGACTCGGCTAGTTGAGTCGAGTAACTCTTGAATCAGTAGGGACTCGATGAAGGGAAATTTTCACTCAGCAAATAGGACAACATGGATTGTTGACCATCGACCAGCGACTTTGACTTTGTTTAGGGAGTATCTTGTGCCTTCCAAGGGCTCTTTGGTAATTTGAGTAATTATTGACTGGACCACTTATGGGTACAGGCAAGGTGGTTGAAGATATATCTGGAGGTGTGGACAGTATTATTCCGAGCTGCTAGCGAGGTGAGTTATCCTCACTATATCACTAGGGTCTAAGGCACCAAGGCCGGCCCTTTAGGTTGTTATTCTGATTATAGTATGTTGTATGTGGTTATGATTTGTTAGATCGGTATCCGGATAGATCGGATGTTGTTATGCTTTATGATCCGTTAGGATCGGTATGTTAGTGACCTGGTTAGTTCGATATTCTGGTTATAAGTGATTGCTATGATAAATGATATGTGAGACAGTTATATCTGATATATATATATATATATATATATATATATATATATATATATATATATATATATATATATATATATATGCCAATATATGTTATTTATGTGCATATGATTATTTGTTTGATTGTTGGGTTGAGGTGGTCCTGCTTTGTGCTGAAGGCCAACACTCGCGACGAGCGGTCCGGATAGAATGTGGGCCTCTGCATGACGGGCCAGTCATACCGAAGGCTCGGGATAGATCTAGATATATTATAGGCCTTGCAAGGTGGTCCAGTCAAGCTGAAGGTCAAGTATACATGTTTTTGTTATCTGTTATTGATATCCTATTATCGGTGTAGTATTGGTATTTTGGGGGTAACTCACTAAGCTCTCGAACTTACAGTTTCAGTTTATTGTTTCAGGTACATTAGGAGATCGTGGCAAGGAAAAGGTGTGACCGTACCGCTCCTCATCCTTATGATTCTCTTTCTGGAAAACTCTGATGAATAATACTTTGAAAACAATTTGTATAATACTATTTGGTTTTTAATGGATGAAAAAGTTAAAAATTTGGCTTAAATTTTTGGATGTTACACACGACTTAACATAAGTGTGCGTTAAATGAACAAAATTACTTGTATGACCAGTGTAGTCAGGAACAACTGAGGCCGAGTAAAAATCAACATCTGTAATTGTTCAGGATAGTTCTTGAAATCTAGTTGAACAAAAAAAATCGAACTTTGAATCTTCATTAATGGATGAGATGTTGCTTCTTCTTCTGTGGTGGTGTTTAATGGATCAACATAACTAGTTGGTGTCACCATGGTTAGGGTTTGTGACAATTTTGTGAACAAAAGATTATCTTGAAAGAATATTTGGGGAAATTTTTTCCAAGAGTGAATAAAGTCTTCAATTTAGTCCACCAAAATCCTTTTATAATCAATGTTGAATTTGAATTTGAACCATTCACCAATGAAAATATGTCACGTGTTGCGTTGTGTGTGGGGTCGGTTTTCGGAAAAGGTGCCACATCAGAAAAAGTGACCATCACTTTTCCCTAAAAATCTATGAAAGAACTGAATCGTTATATCCACCGAACGTTTCATTGATCCCAATGAGATAAGAACCTTCACTTGACCTTCATTAT